TTTTCAGCCGAGCTCCAACTCAGGCCTGTACTTCAGTAGCTCGACATGTACCAACTGAACTAAGCCTATTGATACCGTCGCCAACCCCAGAACCAGCACCTGGGCTGTGTCCCAACCTGGGACAAAAAGGGTATATATGTAAAGAACAAATAGAAAAATAATAAAATAGACAATAAAATAAAACAGCCAAACGGGGAGCGGTTTTATGTGACCAGCGGTACACAGCCTCTGCGCTGGTGCCTGCTGGTCCTCACCCTGCCAGTTACAGTTCACTGTCTCACGGTTCCCTGCAGGTAGGCTCACATTCATACCTCTCATTGCTCGCCGCAGGCTGAGCTTAGTGGGCAGTGCATCGTCTGGCCACAACTGCCCAAGCCTGTTCCACCACGTCGCGGATCCAAGAGGTAAAAGCAGATGTTCACATGGGAACTGCCAAAGGCCGACGTGGGGAGTGGTCCTATGTGACCGGCCGCTGCGGCCTGCGGCCCCCCCTCCGCCCCGGCATAGTTCACCGTCTTTCTGGTCCCCACGCCATGCTCGTACTGCGACCCCGAACCTGCAAAATATGCAGATTTTGAGGTCGGTTAAATTGAGGTCTTTCACATGGTTTGGATCATACGCTGCACCTTTTCCAGTGGGACGCTACCTTGGCCGTCCGCAGCAAAACAAAACAACCTGGTCCTTTGCTGCCCACACAGCACCTCCCTCACAAGGTTCTAAAATATACATATATATATATATATTATATATATATATATATATATATATATATATATATATATATATATATATATATATTTTATTGATGTCCCGAGGGTCCATAGAAAAAACCACAATGATGCTGCAGAAAACCAGCTCCACGGTGGGATCGGTATTTCAGCAGTTCAATGGAGTACCCACCGAGCTGGGCTCTTGAGCTCCAGCCGGCCCCATAGACCAGTGCCGGCCCCCGTCCCGAATGGGAAACATAAAAAAAAAATTAGTAAAATTCTAGAAATAGAAGTTAAAAACACGGATAGGGGAGGAGAACCGTTAGTACTTAGTCTTCAGTCCTACCTCCGGGCCCGCGGCCGGGTCCCCTCAGCAAAACTAAGGGGGATAATCCCATGGGACTCTCAACCCCTCAGTTCACTCCCAAGTACGCTCCTTCGCTGCCCCAATGCTGGCTGCTGGCCCCGATCCCGGGATCCGCCTAGTGAAAACTCAGTGATGTAACCTATAGGGCTAAGCCCAAGCCCGAATTGGGTGCGGGCTACCCTGTATATGAATTGCATGGTCAACCAGCCTGGGCCTGCAGGTGGTGCCCCAGGCCGTTTCTTGGCCTGCCCTTCAACCCCGTGACCCTGCACACGTGCCGTGCTGGCCTATCCCCTCCACCCTGGCCTTGTGGGGTCGTGCTCTGCTATCTCGAAGGTAGGTGTCGCCCAGCTCATAGCGTACGTTGCCTCTACGTGCCGTGATTGCGGCATGTGGCCATCATAGCCTGCCGCAGCCGACTTTCTATCGCCGCCTTTCCGGAAAAACCATGACACTTGTCTCCACTAGACTCTGTTCGCATTGCCTTCCCTCTCACTCCTCCGATGGCTCCGACCTCTGGCTAGTATATAACTGAGCTCTAGTGTTCACACCCTCCTTACTGTGTAGTCTCAAAGGCGCCGTTTTTCAGCGAGTCAACGAAACCTCACCACCGTAAACCTACTGACCAGCTCCATGCCGACCGTGACTTCGTTGGTGACCGCAGGATTGTGGTCCACGCGGCTTGGTCAAAAAATTCCCACGGCTGCCGACGGCTAGCTACTTACGCACGCCCACAAAGTGCATGCTCACACACTCTCTAATCAAGCTATGCCTGCGTCTGTCGCGCCCGACTTCCAAGAGTCAGTTGCGGCTGGCCGACTTATATTCGATCTTCTCAAGTATCATCTTGATCGCACCTTCTGCGAGGTGCACGAGGCACACACAATTACCCTTGTAAGGGTAATCGTGCTGACAACGTACCCATCTGCGACGCGCGCCGTCTGCCATCTCTGTCGTCCGCCAATCGTCTTGCCGTCATTCGTCGTCGTCGCCCTGTCGTCACCTGCCGTCGCTCGTCGTCGCCGCCCTTCCCGTCGTTCGTCGTGCCACCATTCGTCGACGTCGCCCTTGCAGTCATTCGTCTTCGCCCTGTCCGTCATTCGCCACCCTCTGTCTTCCATTCTCGCCGCCCTGCAATCATCCAGCCGTCGCATGGTGCACTCGTCCGCAAGCTGTGCAAACCACCGACCGCGATCGAAGGCGCTTTTTTCGGATCCGCCATGTTTTCCCGCGGAGCTGGACGGGGGAAGGCTGCCTTGAAGCAGATCGTGGAAGGCGCGGCCCAAGCGAAGAAGGGACGGCATCAGGCGAAGAGGCAGAGGAAGGTTGTCCAAGCCGTGCCCGCTGGCAGTGCGCGAGACGTTGTGGAGGAGGCTGTGGTGGAGGAAGAGATGACGAACGACGCCGACGACTTTGAAGACGACGACGATGAACCACTGCAGAGGAAGGCGAGGGTCAGCTCCGCGGGGGGGGGTAGAATAAACGAGGGGGGGGAAGGGACACCGACCGCACAGCGCGGAGGTGGCCTTGCGGCCAAGCAACCAGTGTTGTCGACGTGGCACGCGACGTGGCGCGAGACGTGGCAAGGAGGGACATCGGTGGCCGCGCGAAGGAAGGGGCCGCCTCGCATGAGACTGCGCAACGCGTGCTTGCGCCTTTGAATCGCCTCCGAACCCCGACTGCAGACGTGGCGGGGAGTTCCCAAGCAGTGGTTGAAGGTGGGACGTTGCGATTTCCCGCGGTTGCGGCGCGCGGTGGCGTTGTGGCGGTCTCGGGAGAGGCGGTTGAAGTCCCGAAGGGAGGAGATGGCACGGCGGACGGGAAAGACGATGAGGCTCTGGTGCACAGGCTGCGCGGGCAACGAGCGGCGACACATGCGATGGATGCCGCTGCCAAACTTTGGGAGGATGACAACAGATTCTGGAACGACAGGCAAGGGAGTGCCATAGTGAGGATAATCCAAGAAGCGTGGGCGTATCTCGTGGCCGTGGCGCGGGGAGTGCAGCCTCCGGCTATTCGACAGAGCATCTCCCTTCCACACAACTCCATCCCCCAACACAAAATCGAGGACGAGTCGGAGCTGAACGCGGCGAAAGAGAGGGCGTTGAAAGTGCAGACAATCTCCCTCAGGGCGATCCACAGTTGGGTCTTCAAGTCGGAGAGCAGGCAAAGGGGGTATCACTTGGCATACCAATACTCGTTGAATCACGCTGCCACGGACATCGCTAGAGCAATGTGGTCAGCAGAGGACTGGTGCAGTTTGGTGAGCCCAATGTTGTTCCGTACCACATTGGACGTAGACATGAAGTTGCCTTTGTGGTTCGTGGGCGTGAACATAGTGGACAGGCACGAGGACGATGAGTGCGCGGCTTACCAGGAAGCTTGTGTCCAGCGTCTGGTGCAGGATTTCACAAGCGCAGTTGGCACGACAGAAGCTATGGACGGCGGTCAAATGTCGTACGAGGGTCTGAAGGGGATGGCAGAGGCGATGAGGTATTTGCTCGCCGCCACGATGTGGATTATGCGAATGGCGGGGGACGATCCGAGATCGCATTACGACGCTTGGGTTTTCGTTCAACTGACGGCGAAGACGGCGCTGCCGGCGTCCATAAACCGGCAGTTCGACGCCCACCGACACATCACGCAATCCGCGCAGGTCATGACGGACAAGTTGGGAAGACCGCCTCTGACCTTCGCCGCCCCACCTGCGTACATCCCCCATTGGGCGTCTAAGTGCGGGGTCACTTTCTCGCACGACGCCACGTTGGCCTCCCCGATGGAGGCGAAACAGTTGGATTGGCAGGGGACAGGTCCCCCCGAGGACGATGACAACGACGCCGAAGGCGATGACAAAGGCGAGGGGGGGTGACGCGTAGACGACGGTGATGGCGACGGCGAGGAGGGGATGATGCGCAGGCCCTGTTGAGATGGCAGGTACAAGAGAATGGGGGGAGGGGGTGTTTTAGGGGGGGGTTCTTCGGGGGGCGGGACGCGGGAGGGCTCACAGGGGAGAAAGGGTTTGTGGCATCGTTTATGACTGTGTTCGGGGCAAGACGCCATGAGCGTGCGGGGTTTGTTTGAGTACCGTGGGAGCGATCGTCGTACAACTGTTGTTTTCTGGTCGTTGATGACTGTGTTCGGGGCAGGACGCCATGTGGAAGTCTTATTGCCAACTTTTTTTTTTTTTCGCTGGATTTCGGCATGCCACTGTTCAGAGGTGGCATGCGTAGTAGAAGGTGTGCATTGGTAGCGCAACGAAAATTCTTAATGGGTGATGTTCTTTTTTATCTTCGCAACGATGTATGGTCTTCTTTTTTCATTCCATCCATCACTTCTTTTTTTTATTTATTTTTGGAAAACGCATGCACGACGGGTGCGGTTTCATCTCTCATTGTCTATTGAATGTTCGTGGCAACAAAGCAATGCGTCATGGTTCGTGTGTATAGAACGTCCAATCCATCCTTCCGCCTTGTTTCGTAATAAACAAAAAAAATAAAAAAATAAAATTTAAAATACAGATAAATAAAACAAAAATACAAAATAAAAAAACACACCACACCACATTGGAGCGAGAGCGGTAAACGATAAGGAAACGCGAAGGTCGATGCAGGCAAAGCGGTGAACAATCTTCGAAACGAAGGACCAAAACAACTGTGTTGCAAACCCATGCAATAGCAGCTCCCTTCAACATAACAACAAGAGAAATGCGGAATGAACTGTTTTTTGCATACACCGTTGTGAGCGAAGAAAACTCAAATCTCAAAAAGGGATTCCCTTTACAATATGGAAGCATTTCCAGGTACCAGCAACGTTGCATTCTTTACAATCAAACCCCTCACCCCACCATCCCCCCGCCCCCCTCTCGCCCGTCGTCCCCCGTCATCACAAGTACTGCACGTTGCACGCATGGCACGTGCACCCCCGCCACGCGCACCCGCCTAACGGCAATATCAGCAACCACCAACTACACTACCTGAGCGAACAATAACGCTAACCTGCCCGTACTCCCTGTCCATGGACAAGGCAAAAAAAATAAAAAAAATAAAAATAAATAAATAAATAAATAAAAACCAAGCGACAGCGTACATAAGCCAGTCGTCGCCACTCAACAATGGACAACTAACCGCACCGACCACGCGAGACACGCCGGCCACATCTTGCTCAAACTACGCTACCACGGTCGGACTGCCATCGTCGACCGCCTCTTGCTGTGGGACGGCCACCTCCCCTTCCTCCCGCCACCAGATCTCCTCCGTGCTCCCCCGCTTCTGACAGCTTCGTCCCTCAGACTCGTTCCATTCATGGCGGGGTCTCCAACTGCGAACACGGCCAACCTCACTGCGCAATCATCCGCTCCGCCAACACGTCCCTCAATATCAGCGCATCCCCCGTCGAAGACTCCATGCACACTGGCCTCAATGGCTGATGCATCCCCAGATCCACTCTACGACGCACGCCGTCTGGACCCACCTCCCACAGCAAATTGTCGTTAAACGGGATGCCGACGTCGATGAGTATGTTGTGGAGGATGCAGACGGCGATGAATTGTTGCGGCAAGCTGTCCATGTTGCACTTGTGGGTGCCGAGGAACAACCTCCACATCCCCTTCAGTCTGCCAAACGCCCTCTCCACTGCTCCCCTGACCGTCTTCTGTTTGTTGTCGAAGCGTGTCTCCGTCAGGTGTTGAGCGAGACCGCCATAAGGGACGACTATCCATTCCGACTGCGGATAACCGTTGTCGCCGATCAAGTAGCCATTAGTCCGCACACCGAAAGGCAGCATCACATGCGGCCCAGTGAAAAGTTGTCCTGACTCCGCGCGCACCCACAAACTCGACAGGTTCAGCATCCTCATGTCATGCACACTCCCCGAATAACCGACGAAGACGTCTAGCACATGCAAGTTCATGTCGACCACCACTTGTGCCTGCATGGAGAATCGACGTCTCCTGTCGCAGTAGTCCTCACCGTTGGCGTTTGCGGGTTTGTCGATGTAGATATGTGTGCAGTCGATGCACCCATGGTAGTTTGGAAACCCCTTGTCAGCGAAGGCGCGCAACACGACCGCCTTCTGCAAACCTGTGGGCCATGATATCTTGTCGGGTTAAGCAGTCGGCAACGCCGCCGTCACGTCACGCATCGCCGTGATGCCGGAAGCCCTCCCGATGCCGAAGCTACACGTCCCGCTGTCGTACGTCTCCCCCGTGGCCCACCTGTACAGTGCATACGCAATGATGTGGTCTGGCTACAAAGGCACCCTGTAGAACGTCACACGGCGTTGAAGGAGTGGGGAAAGAGTCTCCGCGATCTCGCGGAAAACACGAGGCGACATTCAAAGCTTCTCCTTGAAGTAATGATCCGTTGCGTCATCACATTGCCGCAGATCCTCCCACGTGCCGCCCGTTCGCCGCTTCACCCACCACCGTGGAGTCGCCCTTGGAAACCCCCCGCACCCCATCGCGTAGCAGACCTCCAGCACCGCGTCGGAAATGGCAGCCACATCCAAGCACTGCCCAATCGTCGGAAGCGCCAACAGCTTGCGCCGTGCACAAACAGCCGCTTTGAAGTTCGCGTTATTGATCGCCATCTGGCAGCGGAAGAGGACGGCATTAACCACCGCAGCAATAGCCGTCCTCTCCGCCGTCATCAAACTGCCGCGCCCTGCCCCGCCGTCAACGTCCATCCCAGACGCCGCTTCCGATGACATGACGTCAATCAAACCTCTGGACTCCACAAACAGCGCCACGCGGAAGATCACAGCGTCGGTGGCTGTGCAATATCTTCGGAGCCACGCACTGACGATGGTCGTCTGTCTTTCCCAAYGCTCAYGTATCGATGTCGTCTCCCCTTGCCGCCAACGCGTACACGACCGTGCTCATCGACGACAACCGCAGGGGACAATCGTCASTTATGCGAACGCCACGAACGCCAGCCGCAGACGCAACCAGGCGTGAAACGTACGTCCTCCACGCGCCGCCGATCGCAAAGCCTGATTTCAAATTTCAAATTTTGAACAGGACCGCTGCGCGCCATTTCCAAGGGCCCCGGTTTTGTTTTTTTTCGTTTCCCGCCCTCATTCGAATTCGCGACGGCCAACAAAGGTGGACCAGCGCCGCCCGCACGGACACAACTCGGTGGACCACCGTCAGCCCCACCCCCGCGTCCGCTTGTGCATATATAAATCGGGGCCGCGGGAGCCCCGAGGAATCGTCCTCGGGGGTCGACTCCGAGGATGAGTGGAACGAAGGCGACAATTTCCTCGGGCAACCCCGAGGAATCGTCCTCGGGCCCCGAGGACGCCCCGAGGAGTGTCGAACGAGCCCCTCAGCCTACAGTGCAGTTTCTGGTCCCAAGGTCCTTTTCTACTTCTCCTTCTCCTCTCCCCCCCCCCCCCCCCCCCCCCTCTCTTTTTCGTCCCCAGATGAAATGTCTTGGTTTCGGCCAAGGCTTCGGTTGCAGTATTTGATCTGGCCCACTGCAGGGAAGGCCATAAGCAACTGGTGGCACAGAGCAGTTCCTCGTCAAGGTTCTGATTCTGGCCGAGTTAGGATACTTGTCTGGGCCAGGATTAGAATTAGAATTCCAGTCCAGGCAGGTTCACAGCACTTCCACAGGTGCAGTTTCTGGTCCTAGCATCCTGGTTAAGTGTCCTGGTCTTGGCCAAGGTTCAGCTTGTCGCCCGTGCACCCACCCAAAGGTGGTCCTGAGCAAACCTATGGTGTAGACCAGGTCCTCCTCACGATTCTAAGGGTCTGATCCCACCACTACACTACGACTGTAGTCGCCAAAAAGCAGTACAAAGATGTCAGCGGCCGTGGCGGGATGAAAAAGAAAAATTGGATCCCACCAGGGCGTCACGGTCTACACAAAAATTGTAGTAACTACGCTTGCACCCTTCGCGGACGTGCTGCCACGACACACCCAAACGAAAGTATGGCAAAATATTTCGGCGGCCGCAACGAAGTCGGAAAGTGGTGGGATCCGAAAACTACACTGTAACTGGGCTGTAGTGTAGTGGTGGGATCAGACCCTAATTGTGACAATGGCAGGGGTATTGGTCTGGGACAAGGTTCCATTTCCAGTCCAGGGAGGTTCACAGCAGGTCTTGAGGTGCAGTTTCTGGTCCTAAGGTCCTGATGAAATGTCCAGGTCTCGGCCAAGGTTCAGCTTGTACGTAGTCTCCTAGCGCAGTGAACCAGCAGCATAGACCCAACCGATGGTGTACACCAGGTCTTTGTCAACGTTCTCATTCTGACCAAGGCTTGGGCCCTGGTCCAGGCCAGTGTTGCCATTCAAGTAGGTAGGCTCATAGTTCAGTGAACCAGCAGCATAGACCAGGTCCAGCTCAGGCCCCAGATTGCGGAGTCTGGGACAGATACTGGATGGAAGCGTACTATAGTAGGCACAGTGTCCTCTTTACCCGAACAGAACGCCCGGTCATGATCGCTCCATCTGGACTTGAAGTTGCCCGAAATACAGGGATAATGACCTGGCGTTCTGTTCGGTTGAAGACGGAGCACACTGGCTGGTACAGGGATAAAGACCAGGCATCAACTGATTCATCGGACTTCGGGCTGTGCTGCAGGCCGAGTTTCAGACGCTGCTGCTGGACCAGGTGCAGACTACGGTACGTAGGTTTACCGCAGGTCCACAGCGGACCAGCTGCGCAGAGGAGGTCCACACCCGACCAGCGGCATAGCAGCAGGTCCAGTTGGGGCTCTAGATTACCAGGTCTGGCTCAAATACTGGGTTGGGTGGGTACTGGGCTTCGGGCCGAGTGTCGGACTCTGGTCCGGCCCGACGTCCAGATTCCGGTAGGTAGGTTTACAGCAGGCCTGCAGTGAACCCGCAGCGTGGAGCAGGGCCAGCTCGGTCTACTCAACATGACTGTACCGAACTAGAAAGATGACTTGTATACATTCATTATCAGGCTGCCTTGTGTTCAGGGTAAGACAGTAGTTCAGCGGCACCATGATTGCAGTCCCGTGACCGCCTAGACAAGTGCCTGTGCCAGTGCGGTTGGTCCATGATTGGGCCATGGTTGGTCCTAGATCATCATGGGTAGATTGGTGCCAGTGCCGTTGATCCATGCTTGGTCCATTACTGCGTAGGCCAGTGCCAGTGAGGTTTATCCACGCTTGCTTGGTCCATGCTTCCTTGGTCCCTGCTTCCTTGGTCCACCTCTGGTCCATGCTTGGTCCATGCTTGCTTGGTCCATGACGGCGTAGACCAGTGCCACTGCGGTTTATCCACGCTTGGTCGGTGCTTGCTTGGTCCATCCTTGGTCCAGGCTTGCTCCATGCTTGGTTCAGGCTTGGTCCGTGCTCGGTCCATGCTTGCTTGATCTGTGACTGCGTAGACCAGTGCCACTGCGGTTGGTCCAGGCTTGGTCCACGCTTGCTTGCTCCATTCTCTTGGTCCATGCTTGGTTCATGCTTGGTTCAGGCTTGGTCCATGCTTGGTCCATGCTTGGTCCATGCTGCTTGGTCCATGCTTGGTCCAGTCTTGCTGGATCCATGACTGCGTAAACAGTGCCGCTGCGGTTGATCCACGCTTGGTCCATGCTTGGTAAATGCTTGGTCCATTCCTGATCAGTGCTTGGTCCATGCGTGCCTGGTCTCTGCTTGGTGGCTCCATGCTTGGTCCATGGTTGATCCTGGATCATAATGGGGAAGGGTTTACGGCACGGCAAGTCCTACCAGGTCCAGAGTGCCCATACCAAGCGATGCCTGGTGGCTGCCTTCTTGTTGTTTCTTATCCAAATGATATGGTTCATCGGATACGTGAGGGATTTCAGGTATGCGGGACGCGGTGTTCCCCAACGTTTGCCCTCCCAGTGCCCCCTTCCACCTCCTCCCCTCCTCCCCCTCCTC